TGAGAGTGACCCTGAGACTGAGGAGTGACCCTGATCCTGAGAGTGACCCTGAGACTGAGGAGTGACCCTGAGCTTGAGGAGTGACCCTGAGACTGAGGAGTGTCCCTGAGACTGAGGAGTGTCCCTGAGACTGAGCGTCCCTGAGAGTGAGGAGTGACCCTGAGAGTGAGGCGTGTCCCTGAGAGTGAGGCGTGTCCCTGAGAGTGAGGAGTGACCGTGAGAGTGAGAGTGTCCCTGAGTCTGAGGAGTGTCCCTGAGAGTGAGGAGTGACCCTGAACCTGAGAGTGACCCTGAAAGTGAGATTGTCCCTGAGAGTGAGGTGTGACCCTGACACTGAGGAGTGACCCTGAGACTGAGGAGTGTCCCTGGGACTGGGAGTGACCCTGAGCCTGAGGAGTGACCCTGAGCCTGAGGAGTGACCCTGAGAGTGAGGAGTGACCCTGAGCCTTAGAGTGACCCTGAGACCGAGGTGTGATCCTGAGAGTGAGAGTGTCCCTGAGACTGAGGAGTGACCTGAGCCTGAGAGTGACCCTGAGCCTTAGAGTGACCCTGACCTCAAGAGTGACTGACCCTAAACTCTCCTCCCTGCCCCACTCCCACCCCAACAATAGACTGACAGCTCCCCTCCCCCTGCTGAGTTCCTGCTGGACTGTTAGTTTGATCTCCCCAGAATATCTCTGATCCTCCTAACCCACCATCACGCTGATCCCAAGGCTGTTGCACTGACCATCCCTCCCTTGTTACTCCAACATTACCAAACCATCTTAAAGCCAGTCCATAACTGTCTTTCCTTTCCAGTTGGAGGTGTCTCACTGTCACCTGACCCACAGCAGGATGCAGCTCTGATGGAGTTGGCAGTGTCAATGTGGAGTCTTTCTGGTTCACATGATCCAATTACAGATCTGGTTTTTGGACAGTCCCTCTTGGGATTATCCAAGAGTATTCAAATGCTCCAAGTACAGAGTTTAAAGTTTGTATCTGTGACCATGATAATAGTGATCCTGTAGGTGATGGTTCCCCACCAGGAGGAACTGGGGCAGATTATTTTCTGGGCTCCTTTTCTTGCTCCTTCCCCATTTGGTGTACACAGAGGCTATCCTGGAGGACAGTTCCCAGAGACAGCACATCTGTCTAAGCATCTTCATGCCTTGATGCCAGTGTGCAGGTCCCTGATTCAGGACTTGTAAGTCCGCAGCCCCATCACTGTCACCAATTCTGCACTGCCGCTGGACCTGACAAATAGATGCTGGTAAAATTTTGAATATAACTTTGTTTATGGTGGGGTGTGTGGGGTGCTGTCACTGCTCACACAGGTTTGATGGGATGTTGGTCAGATTGCGTCAACAAATCAAGCTACAATAACCAGGACCACCATCCCACTGCTGCCATCACCCAACTTCGCCATCAGTGAAGAATACTCTTCCTTCACCTGTTCTGTCACCGAGGACCCTTACAGCTGCATTTTCTTTTTTGTGTGGAATCTCACCTGACCTTTCCCTAGCAACAGCTTGGAGTTCCAGGCAAGTTCTCACTCAGGCTGCCATTGGAGAGAACAGCCATTCCACCATGTCATAGTAACTATCCTCACACACATGCTCCCATCCACACTTGCACAATACCTCCCCCTCACACTTACCACCTTGAAAACATTTACACTCTCACCCATATTCACCTCCATACTTAACCCCCCAAAAACTGACGCCCCCCACCCGCCACTTATCTCCACACTCAAACCCCCACACACTCCCACACATTTCTTATGATCTCAGTTGATGGAAAGACAGGACAAGTCAAATTTAGGAATTAAATTTGGCTTGATAGATCATGTTTGTTGTTATTTTAGTTGGTGTTGCAGCTGCAAACTGAAACATGGTCACATTAGGCTGCAGTGTTTCTTTAACAGCAGAACAGGAGTATATCACACAAAAGATAGAAATAATAAACCAAGCTATATAAATGTAGAACACAGTTTGAAACATCTTAGAACACAGCAAAACGAGGTCTCATCCCATTTCCCAACACAATCTATCACAGAGATTTAAATCCAGAGAAACTGTCCCCTGTATCAAATCTGTACATTCAGATTTACTGATCCTCCCCACTTCTTTTCCTGTCAAGTCTTCTAAAACAATACTTTCGAACCTGAGGGTGCAGGCTTTCTCAGCATCTAGTAACCTTCAAATGTCTAACCAAACACTCGAGGTTTGAAAGTTTCACAAATTAAACTTTTCTGCTGAAATTAATGTTCTTTCCCTGTGCTATCCTAGACTCATTCTAGAACAGAAACTACATTTACTGCTCACCTCAGTCAGGACTTGTCCGAACTGCCCTAAAACTTTCAATTTCTTATTTTCCTAAGGTAAAATTAATATGTTTTCTAATCAACCTGTTCAGAGATGTTATTCACACCTCTGGAGCAGGTGAGACTTGAACCTGGGTCCCCTGGCTCAGAGATATGGACATTATCACAGGAACCCTCAAAATAGCCCATTGTAGATATTTTGAATCAACCTGCTCAGATATTACAACATACTGCTATACTGATTGATCCTGAACCAAAACCAGTTAATGACTGTCAGTTGTTACTCCCCTTCTCGTTAAGCACCAAAGTAAAATCCAGGGAGATCCTCTCTGACACACCCTGGATTAGGGTCACTGTTCCAGGGGACTATCAGGCCTGGATATTTTTGAATTATCCTTCAGAGAAGTGCCCAACCCCCATGCCATTACCTGATAATCAAACTCTAAAAATAATGTGTATATAAATCAGACACCTTTCATGTCACACACCTGTTCCCAGTATGCACCCACACATTTTAGCTCATTATGTTGACAGAGTTGACATTGAGTTTAATCTTGCCATTTTTAAATCTTTTAGAGCCTGGTTCAGGATGCCAACCAGTCATCGAAACATTCCGTCACTCACTGACCTGTCATGGCTCGTATGATGGGAACTGTCAGCAGTTCCGTTACTTCCATTCTGCCCGTGTCAACTATATCATGACATGTGCACCACTCCGAGGAAAAATGGGTTTTGTCTCATCTCGTTTCACCCGATTGTTCACGGTCCTTGCTCTCCCAGAGATGACCTCGGCCATGTTATCAGCCATTTATACCCCCTGTGTGACCCAGTGGCTGAACAGCTTCCCAACCTACACACTGGCCAGACACACCGATCTGGCCCAAGCCCTTGTTTCAGCTACAGTGGAACTTTACCAGAGAGTGAGGCAGACTCTGAAGCCATCACCTAGCCGTGCCCATTATCTGTTCTCAATGGTAGATATTGGGGCAGTGTTGAATGGTATATTCTTGTTGAATCCTGCCTCTATCACCATGCTGGTCAAACCCAAGAAAGATATACAGAAGCATTCAGGATCTCAGATATCATCCACCATTTCATCTGTCATTAAAATCATCATTGATCTGTGGCTACATGAGTCCATGAGGACGTTCTCTGACTGCCTCCTGACTGAAGGGGAGAAGAAGACTTTGACACAGATGCTGGTGGAAGTGGCTCAGTTTCATTTCTGTACTTCTGAACGTGGAGCTGAAAGCCTTCGGCCTCTGCAGGAGATAGCTGACTCCTCAATTGAGGACTCTTATTTGAGCCAATCTAATGTGGCAGAGTTCCGACAAATCACCATACCAGTCTCCCTGGAGGAGCAGAGTGCAGATAGATCTAGAGAGACATCCGGTGATGATGGCGGAGAGGCTGGAGCTACCGCTAATCTAGACCCCAAAACCCAATTACCTCAATCTCTGCAGCTCAATGAATCTGGATCAAAGATCTCAAGCAAGTCTTCAAAGCAAGCAGAAACCACCAAGAGAGAATCTTCCAGTTCTAAGGTTTACAGTTTGTTGACTTCAGTCTCAGATGGTCAGACACATGACTCAAAGACCAGGGGCCATTCTCCAACTAGGGTACCACACATCGATATCTATCCAACTCGCCTGACAGAAAGTGAGAGCTCTGTTCAGAGAAAGCAGAAACGTGCCAGAAGTCGCAGCAGGAAATCTAAAAGGTCAGAAACTCTAAAATCACTGCTCCCGTTCCACTTACTGCGCACAGAGGAATCTATAGTTAGCCTCATTTACAGCAAGTGGCCTGTTCGTCCAGCTAATAAACAGCAGATGACCTCTCCCAGGTGGAACCCATACCGGGAGGTGAGCTGTGATACTCTAGCTCAGCAGCTCCAGCTAATTGTCCAGAAACAGAACCACAAAAACAAAACCAACTACCAAATCATTTTCTTCAAAGAATGTGTGTATCACTTTGTACGTATCTACAGGGTTCTGTGCACCCCCAGAGGTCATTGCGTCTTGCTGTCTCTCACTAATTTCTCTGGCCGTAAAACACTGGTCAGACTGGCCGCCTACCTCACTATGGCCGACCTCTTTGAGATCAATGGTCAGATGTCGAAACTGGAGATGGCCAAGGTGATTAAGCAGGCAAGTTATGGAGCTGGGATTCATGGAAAAGACACAGTGATCCTGGTCCACGGAGCTCTGAGGAAGGACACATTCCAAGATCTGAGTGATGTGATAGCAGAGGGTAAATATCCTGAGCTTTACACAGCCAGTGAATTGGAGGAATTAGCCAAGATGTTTGCCAACGTCAAGAGGCTGCCACTGAATGTGAAGAGAGAGCAGGTGATTGAGAGGTAGGTGTACAACTTTCAATCTCTGGCCTTTTCCTGCAGCTCCAACACCAGGATGTACCTGTGCCATGCCAGTTCTGCTCTGTTCCCTTTTACTGTGTGTCACTGCAATAAAAGAGAGGGCAGAATGTCAGTGGTAGCATCACTTTGTGTTTGGGTGACTTAGACTATTAGACCATAAGAAATATGAACAGGAGTAGGCCATTTGGCCCCTCAAGCCTGCTCCAACATTCAATAGGATCATGGCTGCTCCAACATTCCTCACATCCACTTTCCCACCTTTTCCCTGTAATCCTTGATTCCCCGACTGATCAAGAATCTGTCTATCTCAGCCTGAACTATACACAAGGAATCTGCGCCCGCAGATCTGTTTGGTAAGGAGTGCCAAAGACTCACAACCCTTCCAAATCAAGCTGTATAGCTGGAGGTACTGACAGGCAGATGTGAGTTTTACAGACCTGGTAGGTGAGTGAGTGTAGTATCTAGAAACGATTTACAAATGCTGAGTGTTAGGCAGTGCTGTCAAAAACAGGAATAGGAGTAGGCCATTCAGCCCATCAAGCCTGCTCTGCCATTCAATGAGATCTTGGCTGTTCATCTATTTCCACAATCCTCAAAGCTCCCCCCCAACTTGACAGACCTATAAACAACTCCACCTATGTTTGTTGCCTCCTTGCTGTTTCTTAGCTCCATCCAAATGGAGCCCCTGTCTCAATCCTTTGATCTCAGTTTAAGGTGTGAGTACCAAGTGCCTGAGGTTCTGACCACAGACACACTCTCTCTCTCTCTCTCTCAGACACACATGCACAGAGACTCTCTCTAATCCACACACGCACACAAACACACTCTCACACACACACAGCTATGAAGAGCAGTTATGAGTAAGAAAATAGTAAAACTTTGTGAATCAAGGATCTAAACTAAAACGGTAGAATGAGGTGAAATTCCTTCAAACCAGATTTCAGATTCAGAAAAGAAACAATTAGGAGTTCTGATATTTGAAACTTGATCCAGTTTTTCCAACCCACCTCACTGTGAGAGATATCTCAGTGCTGCTTTCATATCCGGACACTGATTCTTACCGACTGAGAAACACAGTACTACCTCCTTGGAAGCATGTCCAGCAGCTACCTCAGACCAGAAACTGTGGCTAGGCAATGGCAACGTATCAGGTCTGTCACCTCAACAATTAAAGCAATAAAACTCCACCCTTATCTCACTCTAAAACTTGCTAGATGCTGTTTTCCAAATCACTTGTGGTTTTTGTTTCGTAAACAGCAAATATACCGTAGTTCCCTTTAACTATTTGACTTTCCAGTTCCAAGCTATCGCCTGATAAACACGTTGTGACCCAGTAATGTACAGCTGCCCATCCTGTACTGTACCTATCCTAGGCTGCCTCCTCATTGCATCCTTTACCCCATGCTGCTCCCCTATTGCCCCTTCCCCAAACCATGCCAGCCCTTGCTCCAGCTGACTCACTCTCTCTCACTCTCTCTCACTCTGTCCCTCTGGTATAGGTTTCTCCTGGCTGTGTTGCAATCTCTCCATGTCGTGTTGCTGTTGAACACATGGGACAATGCGTACACACCTGGACTGAGGGCTGGTCTCCCTGGATACCTGGCTCACTTCCTCCTGCACTGTAGCTGCATTGATGTCTGGCAGCCTTGGCCACACCAAGCTTACACCCAGATCGCCAACTCACAACTCGGAGTCAGCAACCTCTCAACAATCAACAGGACCAACGGTCAGTCTGACCCCCACCTCAGCCTCGGGTCAGGGCTCAGGGCTCAGGGTGGTGGAGGGCAGCGGTAACTCGGACTAGGGGCGAGAGTAATTACTTTACAATCCTGCACAGTCACTGGGCTCAGATCCATAGCCCACACCTCAGGAGGAGATGTCAGCCTCAGAGAGGGATAAAAAGATTGCATTATGAGGGTAATTTACAAATGCTGAGTGTTAGGGAGTGCTGTCAAAAACAGGAATAGGAGTAGGCCATTCAGCCCATCAAGCCTGCTCTGCCATTCAATTAGATCTTGGCTGTTCATCTATTTCCACAATCCTCAAAGCTCCCCCCCCAAAGACCCACCTTGTAATCCCTCGAGTGTTAAAGATTAAACAATGATCCAATCAACATGTTCAAAATGATTCAAGGATCCCATGGGGTCGATGAAGAGAAACTATTCCCTCTGGGGGAGGGGGGTGGAGGGGACGAGGTTGGGGCAGAGTCCAGAAGAAAGGAGGGGTCAGAACCTTCAAACCCGAGCTGGGCTGTTCAAGGCTGATGTCAGGGAGCACTTACTCACACAAAGGGGTGTGGTGTCTGGAATTAACTGCCCAGGAAAACTGTTGGTGCTGGGGCTCAATGGAAATGTAAACAGTGAGGGAAACAGGTGTAACTTGCAGAGAGTGGTAAAGAGTTATGAAATCAGAACATGGAAGATAATACAGCACAGGAATGGGCCCTTTGGCCCACGATGTTGTACTGAACATGACACCAAATTAAACTAATTCCTTCTGCCTGTCCTTGATCCATATCCCTCCATCCCCTGCATATTCATGTGCCTATCTAAAAGTCTTTTAAATTCCCCTATCATATCTGCCTCCACTACCACCCCTCGCAGCATGTTCCAGACTCCTACCACTCTCTATGTAAAACACTTGCCCCTCATATCTCCTTTGAAATTTCACTCTCTCACCTTAAATACATGCCCCCTTGTATTAGAAATTTCTACCCTGGTAAAAAGATTCTGACTGTCAACCCTATCTATGCATCACATAATTTTATAGACTTCTATCAAGTCATGGAGATAATGTTTCGCTGTAGGTTGATCGGTAGTGGAACAGGCTCAAGGGACTGAATGGAATCTTCCTGTTCCTGTGAGTCTGCCTTCAGGACCTGCCATCCACTAACCCACTGGTCCACATTCTATCGCATTCTCCAACTCCCCCATCCCAGCCCTGAACTCACATCTTTCATCAGAATCTCTTGTCGACTCCTCTCATCACCTGTCTAAGCTCACCTGGTTTGTTAGAGCCACCTCCTGTCTCCTCCTGCCTAATCCCACCAAAATGATAACCGTTCAGCTTCTTTCCCTGCCTTCCCCAGTCAGCCAGTTACTATAAAACCATAAAATGTGGGAATAGAAGTAGGCCATTCAGCCCTCTGAATGACATTCAATGAGATCATGGCGATTTGATAATCCTCAAGTCCACTCTGCTGCCTTTTTCCCCATCACCTTTAATTCCCTTACTGATTAAAAATCAGTCTCTCTCAGCCTTGAATATACTCAATGACCCAGCTTCAACATGCCTCTGTGGCAAAGAATTCCACAGATTCACTCCCCTCTGAGAGAAGATATTTCTCCTCATCTCTGTCTTAAATTGGTGCTCCTTATTCTGAGATGATGACCTCTGGTCCTATACGCTCCCACAAGGAGAAACAGCCTTTCTGCATCTACCCTGGCAAGTCCCCTAAGAATCTGCAATGTTTCAATAAAGTTACCTCTCATTTTCTAAACTCTAATGAGCACAGGCCCAACCTACAGAACCTCTCCTCATAAGACAGTCCCTCCATATCCAGGATCAGCCGCGCGAACCTTCTCTGGACTGACTCCAATGCCAGTCTATTGTTCCTTAGATAAGGGGACCAAAACTGGTCACAGTATTCCAGCTGTAGTGTGACTAGTAGGTCAGAGATAGCAAGAACTGCAGATGCTGGAGTCAGAGTCAATACAGTGTGGAGCTGGAGGAACACAGCAGGTCAGGCAGCATCAGAGAAGCAGGAAAGCTGACATTTCGGGTTTACACCCTTCATCAGGTCCTTTATCAGGATCCTGATGAAGGGTGTGAACCTGAAATGTCAACTTTCCTGCTCCCCTGTGGCCTGACTAGTGCCTTGTACGGTGATAGCAATAGCTCAAGTGTAGAAATTACTCACAGTGTCACTGGTAGAGTTCAGGGAAAAGCCCAGCTATTGCTTAAACCCTCAGGAGCCAGGCTCAATTCACAAGATTCCACCCAGACTATCCACAGTATACTGTCAGAAATCACACAACACCAGGTTATAGTCCAACAGGTTTATTTGAAAACCGAAGCTTTCGGTTCATAGCCTGACAAGGAGGAAGGCTTAGAAAGCTTGTGTTTTCAAATAAACCTGTTGGACTATAACCTGGTGTCATGTGACTTCTGACCTTGTCCAGCCCAGTCCATCACCGGCATCTCCAATCACTGGACACTGGACAAATCTGTTCCCGGGATAAACAGCAAGAGGTCAGAGAGAGGTGTCAAAGAACAGGACCCACTTCAACCTGTAGCCCTCCTTTCACAAAAGACAAACGCAGAACAAATGAAGAGACAACAGAAAAACTAAAACAAACTGCAAAGAAACATCTAAAATAAGCTCAGGTACCAGTGAACGGAAAAGACAAAGCAAAGGATAACCAAACAGGGAGAAGTACATGAAGTGGGTCTGAAAGGAACATTGCGGAGGCTATCAAAAATAACATAGCGTGGTCAGGAGCAATTGGTCAGCTGGAAAACTGTTAATGCTGATAAATATATTGAAGGCACACCCAAGAAATGTATTGGATCAGGGACAGAGCCTCACCAAGAATAATGTGAACAAAATAACAGCAATGAAAATATACATGACTCAAAAGAGGAGTGATCCCTTGGACCAGGTTGTTCCCATCTTTGGGTTTTGAGCAAAGAAAAAGAACATAGTGCCAGACGGTCAGCGCTGAGGGAGCGCCACACTGTCGGAGGGTAAGTACTGAGGGAGAGCTGCACTGTCGGAGGGTCAGTGCTGAGGGAGAGCCACACTGTCAGAGGGTCAGTGCTGAGGGAGGGGGCACTGTCGGAGGGTCAGTGCTGAGGGAGCGCCGCGCTGTCGGAGGGTAAGTACTGAGGGAGAGCTGCACTGTCGGAGGGTCAGTGCTGAGGAAGCGCCGCACTGTTGGAGGGTCAATGCTGAGGAAGCGCCGCGCTGTCGGAGGGTCAATGCTGAGGGAGCGCCGCACTGTCGGAGGGTCAGTACTGAGGGAGTGCCGCACTGTCGGAGGGTCAGTGCTGAGGGAGTGCCGCACTGTCGGAGGGTCAGTGCTGAAGGAGTGCCGCAATGTTGGAGAGTCAGTTTTTCAGCTGGAACATTAAAATAAGGCTTTCTCTGCCTTCTGCATTTGAGCTAAGAGTTCCCACTCCATTACATTGGTAACTAAAGTTTTGTGATTCGGAAAGATGCTATATAAATGTAAAAACTGAAAGAACTGCGGATGCTGTAAATCAGGAACAAAAATAAAGTTGCTGGAAAAGCTCAGCAGGTCTGGCAGCATCTGTGAAGAAAAAATCAGAGTTAATGTTTCGGGTCCGGTAACCCTTCCTCAGAGCAGTTCTAAGGAAGGGTCACCAGACCCAAAACGTTAACGCTATATGAATGTAGGTTGTTGATTCTGTGCAGTCGATATTATAGCTGCCATGTAGTGTTGTGTGTTTGACTGGCTACATTTGCTGAAGCCACACACTGATGGCGTTGTGTCCTCTCACTACAGGTCAATCAGTCGCTCAGATTTGGACAATGATCCCAGAAATCACCAATGTCATGGCTTTAATTCACCAATCAGCTTTGAGCTACTTGAATCATGTGTTCCCCAACCTACCTCTCATTTCCCCACGTCACTACCTGGATTTCATTGACCTCTTCTGGATGCTGTCCTATAACCTGGATCGATGTGTGGCTTTGGAAAGTGAGAGGTGAGTTATTCTCTCTGTCATCCTGAAAGAGATTGCTATTTCATGAAACGAGCAGGTGAATTCAGCTGGAGCCAGAACAGGATAGGGCAGAGATTAGGGATGAGGGGAATTGGATCAGAATTAGGACAATGTGCCATCATCAGAATAGGCACTATTAGGGAATTCAAGGGGTTAGTGGGTGGAGATGAGGGAATTGTGAAAAGAGCAGGGATTAGGAGAATCAGAAGATATTGGGGGAATAGGGAGTTAAGAGAAACAATTGGGAAGGCAGTCGGGAGGGGTTAAAGTGACATGAATTTAAGGGAATGGAGGATGTTTGATGGCAGTGATGAGCTTCCTTCAGTGCAGAAGGCTGGAGGGGAGGTAGTGGTATAGTGATAATGTCACTAGGCTACTAATCCTGAGGCCCAGGCTAATGTCTTGGGGACTGGGGTCAAATCCTGCCATTGCAGAGGTGCAATTTGAATTCAATGAAAGACTGGAATTTAAAAAGCTGACCAAATGATGACCATATAACCGTTTCTGATTGTTGTTAAAAACCCATCCGGTTCATTGTTCCCTGGTCTGGTCTACACGTGACTCCAGACCCACAGTGGTGTTGTTGACTGTTAACAGCCTTCTAGGCAATTCAGGATCTGCAACAAATGCTGGCCTTGGTGGCATCATTTTAAAATGAAATGCAAGCATTTGAGAGGAGATTTGAGGCAAAGATTTTCCTTCTCTTGTGGTGGGGTCTGGGATGCACTGACTGGGAGGGTAGTAGAGGTGGGCAATCTAACAACCTTTAAAAAGTACTTGGATGAGCACTTGAAATGTCATAATATTCAAGGCTATGGATTTAGTGCTGGAAAGTGGGACTGGTGTAGGGAGTATATTTTTGGTGATTTGATTTGATTATTATTGTCATATGTACTGAGATACAGTGAAAAATATTGTTTTGCTTCCTGTCCAGACAAATCATACCTTACATAAGTACATCAGGCGAGTAGAACAGAATGCAAAATATAGAGTTAGTAAGTGTGGAGCTAGAGAGACACAGCAGGTCAGGCAGCATCACAGGAGCAGGAAAGTCGATGTTTCGGGTCAGGAAGGGTCCCAACCTGAAACGTCAGCTCTCCTGTTCCTCTGATGCTGCCTGGCCTGTGTTCCTCCAGCTCCGTACTGTGGTATCTCTGACTCCAGCATCAGCAGTTCTTGCTATCTGCAGAATATAGAGTTACAGATATAGAGAAGGTGCAGAGAAAGATCAACTTTAATATGAGAGGTCTGTTCAACAGTCTGATAACAGCAGGGAAGAAGCTGTTATTGAATCTTTCGTCATGTGTTTTCAAACCTTTATATCTTCTGCCTAATGGAAGAGGGTGGAAGAGAGTATACAACTGGGGTGGGAGGGGTCTTTGATTATGTTGGCTACTTTCCCGAGGGAGTGGGAAGTGTAGATGGAGTCGATGGAAGAAAGGCTGGTTTATCTGATAGACTGGGCTGTGTTCACAACTCTCTGTAATTTCTTGTGGTCTTGGGCAGAGCAGTTGCCATACCAAGCCGTGATGCATTCAGATAGGATGCTTTCTATGGTCCTTCTATGAAACTTGGTAAGAGTCTTTGCAGACATACTGAATTTCCTTAGCCTTCTGAGGAAGCAGAGGTGTTGGTGAGCTCTCTTGACCATCGTGTTGATGTGGATGGACCAGGACAGATTGTTGGTATATTTAGTCCTAGGAACTTGAGCTCTCTATCACCTCCAGCTCAGCACCACTGATACAGACAGGGGTGTGTACTCCACTCTGCTTCCTGAATTTGATGGCCGGCTCCTTCATTTTACTGACATTGAGGGAGAGATTGTTGTCTTTACATCAGGCCACTAAGCTGTCGATCTCTTTCCTGTACACTGTGTTGTCGTTGTCATTGAGATTCAAACCACTACAGTGGTGTCATCAGCAAATTTATAAATGGAGTGAGAGCTGGTGGTACAGACTTTATGAGCTAAATGCCTTTTCCATACTATATGACACCCAAACACACAGGAATTTTTATTTAGAAATGAAGACATATGAGATGCTTGAATTCAGAGAAAAGGATAGAAGTCATTTTAAATTCATTCATGGATGTGGTCATCACTGGCTGGGCCCAAGGTTTATTGCCAGTACATAGTTCCCCTGAGGTGGGTGGTGGTGAGCTACCTTCTTGAACAGCTGCAGTCCACTGCTATAAGTAGACCCAGAATGCCCTGAGGAAGAGAATTCCAGGATTTTGATCCAGCAATACTGAAGGAACCATGATCAGAATTTGATCAGAACAAATAAGGTTCAGGATAACTCAGAGCAATGACAGGTTATGCTAAATTGGGAAAAAAATCCTTTACTTTGTTATGTAGTTGCAGACTAGAGGCCAGAATTTTAAATTACCACCAATGTAGCAGATACGTGTGAACACCACCCCCCTGCAAGTTCCCCTCCAAACCACTCACCATCCTGACTTCGAAATATATCACCGTTCCTTCACTGTCACTGGGTCAAAATCCTGGAATTCCCTCCCTGATGACATTGTGGGTCAACCCACAGCACTTGGATTACTGTGGTTCAAGAAGGCAGCTCATCACCACCTTCTCAAGGGACAACTAAGGACGAACAATAAATGCTGATCCACATCCCTTGAGAGAATGTTTTTAAGATGACGAAATTAGGAGAAACGCTTTAGTGTAAATGATTATAAATTCAGGGGTAATCTAACTTGAAAAAGGGGAGTATGGAATCTAGTCATTTATAGAAAGGTAATGGATAACTATTTGAAAAGTTTAAGATATGAATGGGACTAACGCATAGCTCTTCAGATTGCTGACATTTTGTGTCTGGAATAGCTCTGTGAGGATATTAAAGAATCTAAGTGTGATTTACAGGATGGGAATGGGTTTGCATAAGATCCAGCAAGTGTATAAAGAAGCTGAGGAATACAAGAAGCACATAGATGACCTGAAACACAAGCTCAATGAACTGGCAGAGGTAAGGAATGTTGCCATAACTCCCAGCTCTTCTGATTTCCCTCATCTTCCTCCATTCCTATTCTGAATCATATGGTTCAGGGTCAAAGAGCACTGACTCTCCTTGGGTCAGAGGTTAAAGGAACTGCAACTTCCTCTGCTACAAAGTCGTGATCAAAGGTAATCCTCTTGTCTCAGTCTAGACAATGGGCCAATTGAGAGCCTCATAGGCCAGATTCAATCAGTGAAGGGTCATGGCCTGACACCAGGAGTGTGTAATAATGAGGACTGGATGGCTTGTTCCCTTCTCTCTGACCTACAGCAGATCACCCCAGAATGACCCTTCCCAATTCTAACTAAGAGTAAAGAATCTATTTCTTCATTGGGACCTCTATGAAACCAAATGCATCAGATACACAGTCACTTCTGTCATCGCAAATCTATTGTTTGGAAACACCAGTTGCTCTGAAATTTTTTGAATAGGTCCAACTTGCAACACCAAGTTAGAACCACCCTCTGCAAGTGGAAACATATGAGCTCTGGTATCTGGATATAAAATAGATTTTATTGCTGATTTATGATACTTGATGCTTCAGGCTCTTAAAACTCTCATCTTTACCGGATCACACACGTGTGAATAGGTATGCCAACATTATTCCTTCACCCAAAAAATTCCAAACAGCCTTTCCAGACAGACCTAAGCATTCCAGACTGGAGTGGATACAATGTGTCTCCTGTATATGGGGCTGGATCTGACCCCAGTTTCCAGAAGTTGAAAGGTCAGTTTCTGAACTCTGACCCAAGGATCTTAAGCTGTCCATTTTACTGTCAGTTTGAGGGTATCTTGGTTTATAAGTGGGTCTAGTTTAGTTGGGAACATTGTCAGTGTGGACTAATTGGACCAAAGGGTCTGTTTCTATGCTGTATGACTCTTTGACTTAATGATAAAAGCAGACATTGAGCTCAATAGTTCTCAGCTGTGTTCGGGACACCTCAATGTGGATCTGACCAGATTGTTGACTCTCTCTTTTTAACACAGGAAATAGGAGCAGGGAAAGGCCATTCAGCCCATCCATAGGACCATTAGATATAGAATCAGAATTAGGCCATTTGGTCCATCGAGTCTGCACTACCATTCAATCATGACTAATATGTTTCTCAAGTCAATTCTCTTGCCTTCTCCCCATAACCCATGATTTCCTTACTAATAAATACTTGTAAAGCTTACTACATCATTCAATACCATCAAGGCTGATTTTGGGGTTCAGCCAAACGTTCCTGCTCACTGCCACTATCCCGTGATTCCATGGGACCAAGAATCTGTCTATCCCAGCATTAAATACATTCAACGTGGGAGCATCCACAACCTTGTAGGATTCAAAACCCTTGGAGTGAAGCCATTTCTCATCTCAGCCAGAAATGGTTGCCCTCTTATCCTGAGTTTTTGCCCTTGTGTTAGGATTTCCCCAGCCTCTCAGCATGCAGCTTACCACCACTTTCTCAAGGGCAACTAGGGACGGGCAATAAATGCAGGCCCAGCCAGTGACACCCACTTCCTGAATTAACAAAAATATGGCATCTTCCAGCACCACCCTGTCCATGTCTCGCCTAGAGGACTCATGCATCATAGTTTTGATTCAGAAACCTTGCAAAAGCTGATATTACCCATGCAGCTCATGCACCTTTCTTGCCAAATTAGTGCCAACTTATGCTCCTTTATAACTTGGGTGAGTGCCCAGACTTACAAAAGGATTAACTCTATTTACACAGGTGCAGAGAACTTTTTATTTTAATTGAATGACAGCTCTCTGAGTTTATAATAAGCTAGGTTTTTTTTCTCTGTGACCTTTATGTCAACAGCTCAATGTTTGCACGGAATTAAGAGGCCTCTATGTCTAATGTACTGGTTGATTGAGGCTTTTTGAGGTTTAGAATAATGCCAGTTTATTTTTTAAATTATGAATGGCCTTTATTTCTAGCTATTTCAATGTAGCATTATCAGTATAGGACAGAATGTGGCAAATTTTTCCCTCTATGACCCAATTTCAGAGCTTGACAATTGTTATGACCCTTGAGTGAGAATGGTAAGTTTGGGAACACAGCTGTACAGATGGAATAACTTGGTCAGAGTTCTGAGTCCTGCCTCAGAGCTCACAACTTTAAAATTCCAGCTCATGACCCCACCTGGGATTCCAAGCCCCACTTTGGGAAAGGCCACTTTCCCAGGGACAGTCCCAGGGACCAATCTAGTAAAATCTTTCTGTCCCACCTTGAATGCAAGTATATCACTTGAAATCTGACCATAATATTCCAGATGTGGTGTCACCAACCCCTATACAAGTGTACCAAGACTTCCTTAGTCTTCTACTTATAGAGGAATAGAGTCATACAGAATGGAAACAGACCCTTCAGTCCAACCAGTCCGTGCTGAACATAATCCCAAATAAACTAGCCCCATCTGCCCGTGCTTTGGACCATATCCCTCCAAACATTTCCTATCATGCACTTATCTAAATGTCTTTTAAATGTTGTAACTGTACCCATTTCCACCACTTACTCTGGAGGTTCACTCCACACGTGAACCACTCTCTGCATTAAAAAATTGCCCTTTATGTCTTTTTTAAATCTTTCTCCTCTCACCTTAAAAACATGCCCCCTAGCCTTGAAATCCCCCATGTTTGAAAAAGACACCTGCCATTCACCTTATCTATACCCCTCATGATTTTATAAAGTCACCCTTCAACCTCCTATGCTCCAAAGAGAAAAGTTCCAGCCTATCCATCCTCTCCTTATAAATCAAGCCCACCATTCCTGCAACATCCTGGTAAATCTCTTCTGAACCCTTTCCAGCTTAATAATATCCTTCCATAACAGGGCGACTGGAACTGCACACAGAACTCCAGAAGAGGCCTCACCAACATCCTGTATAACCTCAACATGACATCCCAACTCCTACACTCAAAGCACTGAGCAATGAAATCAAGCGTGCTAAACACCTTCTTAACCATCCTACCTAAGAATTATGTACCTGAACCCCTAGGTCTGTGTGATCTGCAACACTACCCAAAGCTACCCAACTTTTAATTGCCTTGCCTTTGTGTGTTTTACCAAAATACAATACCTCACATTTATTCAAATTAAACTCCATCTTCCACCCCTCTGCCTATTGACCCAGTTGATCAAGATCTCTTTGTAATCTTAGATAACCTTCTTCACTGTCCACAGTATCACCAACCTCCTTTCAATAATTGCTCACTGTACCTGAACTGAAACGCTGTCTGACTGGATCTTCTTATCTGCTGCAGATAAGGAGACAATTGATTGACCGGTTTGGGAAAGTGAAAGCAGAGTTTATAGATCTCATGTCTAAGTGCCGTAATGAGGAGTTCCGCATCGCACTGCTAATGCGAGAACTGGAGGCTGCACGCAAGAAATTTGATGAAGAATTTGCCATGGTTAGTGTTCATCTGACTTGAGGTCATTCAGATTGGGCCATCAATAAACCTGTCAAATGAGCAGGAATTGAGCTTTGATTGCCGTTGTGGTAACTGGGACTTCCATCTTGAATGGGACACAGCTGCTCTTTGCCAGGGAGCCATGCACAGTATCTGAGTGGATCATTTCCCAACACAAGTCCATACACAAGGGACCAAGTGGCCTCTTCCATCAAAATTCTGTGATTCTATGCATGTGCCTCAGTGCGTTCTGAAGAAGGGTCACTAGACCCAGAACATTAACTCTGGTTCTCTCTCCACAGATGGTACCAGACCTGCTGAGCTTTTCCCAGTAATTTCTGATTGTGTTTCTGATTCCCAGCATCCGCAGTTTTTAGTTTTTTTATTTGTAGATTCAGTCCTACTCCATAAGCCCAGCACAGCATTGAAGCCGGTGTTTCCAATGCAGTACCATAGGATTAAATGTGCCATTATTTGAACAGGCATTAAACCAAATGATGGCACAACACAAATATGAGTGGGGGAGGGGGTTTACTTTAGCGTCCATATTAAAATTCATCCCTCAATTAATGTCACAGAAGTTAGATTGTCTGATCAATCTCTTTCCATGCATTTGCTGAACTATAATTGTCTGCAAAATTCCTACATTACAATGGAGACTGCAGAATCAGGCCATTCAGCCCCACAGTTCTCTGCTGTTGTGGTTTGACAAAGGCCGTGTATAACTGCAGTATGACATCCTTGTTTCTCAACTTCCAAATCCATGACCACTTCCAACTAGAAGGTCAAGGGCAGCAGATACATGGGAACACCACACCCTCAAGTTCCCCTCCAAGCCACTCACCATCCTGACTTGGAAATATATCGCTGTTCCTTCAGTGTCGCCGGGTCAAAATCCTGGAATTCCCTCCTTAGTGGCCTTGTGGGTCAACCCACAGCACATGGACTGCAGCGGTTCAAGAAAGCAGCTCACCTCCACCTTCTCAAGGGCAACTAGGGATGGGCAATAAATGTTGGGCCCAGCCAGGGACGCCCACACCCCACAAATGAATTTAAAAAAAAACATGTTCTACATGAGGCTGCTGCTATTTCTATTCATTTCACCTAATCTGCACCAAATATTTCATTGGCTTTGAGACATGCAAAGATTGTGAAACGTCCTTCAAAATCACTGGTGATTAGACAGGATCTGGAAACAGTGAAGACAAAGGAAGAGTGGTTGCAACAAATTACCTCAAACAACAATTACCCTGAGCCACATACTGGCAGAGAAGGACAGATACCATGAGATGTGAACAGCGGCAGACTGTGCAAATACCACATGGAAGCTACAGTTTGAATGTGAATTTCATGCATTGCCCTTCCCACGCGCCCCCACCACCACCACCATGAGGATAACATTCCCAAAGAACCTGAAAAAATAATTTGCTGAAGAAAAGTGAGTTTCCCATTTCCCAAGAAAACACAGCCAGCTAGCAGCAAAATCCAACAGAGAGAGACAACAGCAACTGTGGCAGGAGCCACAGAACAAATTCAACACTCCAAAGGCAAACTTCACCAAGAAGCTGGTAAGAGGCACAGGGGAAAGTATGTGACCAATTGAAAACACCAGTCATGCTCAGAAAAAAGCAAAGATCTTAGTGAGGGAATCGCTGTAGGGAGCTAAGGAAACCTCTAGGAGTAAAGTGAGATATTCCTGAGGGAAAAAAGGGGAAATCTGTGCAAAGACCAAGAAAGGAAGAGGAGGAAGTTTTCACTTCACAAAAAATGTCACTGCCCTTGAGAATTGGCGCTGTGAGATACAGCTATAAGGGACTGTGATAGGGCTAGAGAAGTAATTTACACAGAGTCAGGAAGATTCAGAATTTACTTAAGCTGTAAAAGAGCAAATGTAGAGAAATCTAGTTAAAGAGACTAGAAGAAAAGAAAAATCAAGAGGGATTAAAGCTTTAAAAGCTCCAGGACTCAGTCATTAATTATCTTAATTTTGGTGGGAAGATTAACAAGAGCTGCAGCAGAGAACTTTGTTTCGAGGCGAATGTAAAAGAAAGCATTCCTTCAACAGCGAAAAAAAAACAGAGAATGTCCATTTTGTCTTGGAAGAAGCAGGACAACTCCATCTTGGCTGAAGAAGGCACAAAAACCGTGAAAGAAAATGAGAAGCCAACATCTTAATCATTAAAAAATATGGGGAAATCTGAAAGAAAGAGAGAAAAACTAATAAGCAGGAAAGAGATACAGTATTTCAAATAAACAGAATTTTGAAAACAAAAGATCAGTGCAAGTCAACCACTTAAAAATTTGAAGGTTTATTGACAAATTTAATAGACCTTTACAGCAATACAAATTTAAACAGACTAGCAAACAAAAATAATTAGAGTCCACCAAACTCTTCAGTAATTAAATTTACAACAACTTTGATGAATCAAAGAATATAAGCTTGAAGAACATTAGATGAAAAGCAGTATTGAAATAATGCAGATTTGATATGGCTTTACCAGTAGCAAATATTAATAAGCACATTGTCAAGAAATGGAAGGAAACTGAATACTTCCTCAGGTCAGCAACGGATTGTACAGGACACAGGTTTGGGCTTCTTGGAGGAGACATTTCCTTACGAGACAGAATTACTTCAAAATTAAACACAAAGTCTGAAGTAGAACAAGTTAATACACTACTGTATTCAGTGGGGCCTATGTGGATGATATTATTCATTAGAATATTAAGTAGATACAGATTCTTTTGAAAATGTCCTAAAAGTCTTTGCTGATTATTTCAATTTAAGAAACAAAAAGAATTCTTGAATGATCAAACTTTAACAAAGGAGTTCAGCTTCCAGGGGAATCTATGGACAGTTTCATTAATGATCTCTACAGATTAATGGAAAACTGAATATGGAACTTCGAAAAAAGATGCAAAATTGTTACTGGAATTATTGATGAGTCTTTGTCAGATTTCTTCCAGTCTGAAGAAGAGTTCATTTTAAAGAAATCTATTCAAATTGTTCTGGAAGTAGAAACCAAAACAGATGCTCAGATAAATTCTGAGAGGGAAAGTCAAACAGTGCCCCAGGAAAGCCAGAAGGACTATTCAGTTTATACGGCATGGACATAGGATCGAGGATCACATGACCGGCCAACACAGAGAGTAAGTCAAACACCAGATGCTAAGAATAGTATCAATGCGATAAAATAACAGGCTTCACAGGCACAATGTTCAGCCATGTTAAAGGAGTGTTACATTTGTAAAACTAGATCACTTTTAAAAAGTGTGCAGGAGTAAGCAACACTTTCAGAACATGCAGAAATACCATTGTCCAGACACATACAATAAAACACCCACCACCATTAGAGAGGATATCTGCCTTGGACTAGGCACTTTGTTGGAGAAAGCACCCAAGACATTCCTAGGTGAATTTGCTGATCTAGACCAACCAGAAGACACAGGACATGTCTCTGTCAATGCAAACACTGTTTATTTTAAACTTGAGATAGCAAGAACTGCCGATGCTGGAGTCAGAGATAACACAGTGTGGAGCTGGAGGAAAACAGCAGGCCAGGCAGCATCAGAGGAGCAGGAAAGGTAATGTTTCGGGTCTGGACCCTTCTTCAGAAACGGGGGAGGGGGTTGGGAGCTGGGAAATAAATAGAGAGAGGAGGGGTGGGGCTGGGGAAGATAGGTGGGATGGTGATAGGTGAGTGCAGGTAGGCAGTGATAGGGATTGGTCAGTGAGGTGGGAGAGGGGGATAGGTGGGAGAGAAGATGGACAAGTTATGACAGGTTAAGGAGGCGGGGCTGCGAGAGAGGGTTGGACGTGGGATGAGGCCGGGAGTGGGGAGATTTTAAAACTGGTGAATTCCACGTTTAGACCATCGAGCTGTAGACTCCCGAGGTGGAATATGAGGTGCTGCTCCTCCAGTTTCTGGGCGGCGTCATTGTGACACTGGAGGAGGCCCAGAATGCATATATCGCCCTGAGTGTCAGTGGTGGAGGGAGTGGATGCTTGTGGATGTGGTGCCAATCAAGCGGCTGCTTTGTCCTGGATGGTGTCAAGCTTCTTGAGTGTTGTTGGAGCTGCAGTCATCCAGGCAAGTGGGGAGTATTCCATCACACTCCTGACTTGTCCCTCCCCATTTCTGAAGAAGGGTCCTGACCGGACCGAAACATCAAGTTTCCTGCTCCTCTGATGCTGCCTGGCCTGCTGTGTTCATCCAGCTCCACACTATGTTATTTTAAACTTGATTTTGGAGCATCTGTTAGTGTCCTATCAGACCAGTTCCTGCTGGCTGAAGAAGCACACATTACTGTGTACAGTAATGAGACTGCATCAAGCACTAGAGTAACTGTCAGGACCATCAGAATTTTACACATTTCACTGCAAAACAACACACATAAGGTTGCTATTCATAATGAAACTCTTCACTTCAGAGCATGTGTGCATGGCTCAGTCCCATACATCACAGTCAAAGGAAATGGGCACCATCCTGGAGAACAACTGGACCAGGAGCAAACCATTGTTGACAACCAGTCGAAGAAGTCACCGGGCAGAGGGATAGTGGAACACAAACAGATGAAACAATCCAATGAGGTCAATAATGTTGGAATAAGATAGTAAAACACAGGGAGTCACAGACTCCACAGGGTCTGGTAATAATGTCTGATCTGCTGTCTTATCAAATAGAATGTTCAATGCTAGTGACAGAGATAATGCTGAGTGAGCAACAATCTAGCAGTAAGATGACTGAGAGTCTGAAATTGTTTTCTTCACGAGCTAAACATCCACAGAGGGTGACCCAAGAAGTCCAGCTGGAAGAATAAGTCAAGAGAGATGAGGAGTATTCAACACCATGTGAGTCAGATATTGTCACAGAAATTGTTGGGTGTCAGCATCCAGGAAACTGAAAAACTTCAACGAATCAGCGAGACTGTACCCTGTCCAGAAATCCAGCATAATACAAACAGGGAATGAAAGTACATGTTTCCACAGGAGCAGCTATGTTATTCGAGGGACATTTATAAGTGTTATGGTTTCCCAGGTGAGGTTATGGGACAGGTTCCTGGGTGAACAGAGAACAGTTCCTCTGTGAAGGAGAAGATTCAGGTCCTCCTGATTAGAAACTGTCCAGAGACCTGAATTTGTGAAGTTAGAGGCTAGAGGGGCAATAGAGAAGGTAGAGGGAGATGTAGTATAGTAATATACCTGATTGTACAATGGGTTAACTGGGGGTAAATGCCTGGGGTGGAAAGGTTGTCTAAGGCTATAGTTCCAAAAGAGTTCATGTTTAAGTTGCTTAAACTGCACCCAACCTTTGCTCATGAAACATCCCATATATTCCAGTATCATTTTAGTAAATCCCTTCTTAACTACAGGCCAGGTCACTGAGTCACAGGATCACTTGGTCAGGTCACTGGATCACTAGGACCAGTCTTTCGATCAGTAGACCAGATCATTGGCTCACTAGGTCAGGTCACTGGATCACTAGGCCAGATCACTGGATGACTAGGCCAGATCACTGAAGCGCTAGATCAGATCACTGGATCTCTAGGCCAGTGAGGTGACCATAGTCCACAGGAACAGGGCTGGTCATTGTTCTGCCCCATGGATTAAACTCAGTCCAATTGCTGTCAGTGTTGTTTTCCAATCTCTTGCCTTCCAGGTGAAGCCAATCTATGCCACAGCTTTGAAAGCTCTTCAATCACTGAACTCTGTCGATCTGGATGAGATACGGACATACCGAGCCCCCCCTCCTCCTGTTGTCATGGTGATGAACACCCTGTGCCTGATGTTCGGAAAACCAGAAGGTTGGGACAACGCAAAACAGTTAATCAGTCAGCCAAACTTCTACCAGGTGGGACATTTGTTTGTTTTTTGTTCTTGTAAATATGACAGGGTGGAAAGATTTATCAAATTGTATCAAACAGGAAATTAGAGATGTATGCAGTAGGGGTACAGCAATTATTATGGGTACCTCAATCTACATATTGATTGGACTAACCAATCTGGTAGCAATGTGATGGAGGAGGATTTCCTGGAACGTATAAGGGATGGTTTCCTCAACCAATATGTAGAGAAACCAACTATAGAGCAAGCCTTCCCAGACTGGGTATTGTGTAATGAGAAATGGTTAATTAGCAACATTGTGGTGCTAGATCCTTTGGGGAAAAGTGACCATAATATGGTAGAATTCTTCATTAAGTTGGAGAGTGACACAACTAACTTCCCTAATATTGACTGGAACCTCCTAAATTGTAAATAGTTTGGATGGAGCAGATTTTGTCAGGTGTGTCCAGGAAGGATTTCTGACTCAATATGTAGATAGGCCAACTAGAGGGGGGTGCCATATTGGATTTGGTGCTTGGCAACAAATCAGGCCAGGTGTCTGATCTCTCAGTGAGACAGCATTTCGGTGATAGTGATCACAACTCCCTGACCTTTACTATTGTCATGGAGAGGGATAGGAGCAGACGGTATGGGAAAGTATTTAATTGGGGGAGGGGGAATTACAATGCTATTAGGCAGGAACTGCAGAACTTAAATTGGGAACAGATGTTCCCAGGGAAATGCATGACAGAAATGTGGAGGTTGTTTAGGGAGCAGTTGCTATGAGTGCTGGATAGGTTTGTCCCACTGAGGCAAGGAAGGGATGGTAAGGTGAAAGAACCTTAGATAACAAGACATGTGGAACATCTAGTCAAAAGCAAGAAGGAAGCTTAGTTAAGGTTGAGGAAGCAAGGATCAGACAGGGCTCTAGAGGGCTACAAGGTAGCCAGGAAGGAACTGAAGAATGGACTTAGGAGAGCTAGAAGGGGACATGAAAAAACCTTGGTGGGTAGGATTAAGGAAAACCCCAAGGCATGAGGAACAAGAGGATGGCCACAGTGAGGGTAGAAGCAACCAGGCATAGTGGAGGGAATTTGTGCCTGGAGTCAGAGGAGGTAGCGGAGGTCCTTAATGAATATTTTGCTTCAGTATTCACCAGTGAGAGGGACCTTGACGTTTGTGAGGACAGCATGAAACAGGCAGATATGCTCAAACAGGTTGATGTTAGGAAGGAGGATGTGCTAAAAATTTTGAAAAACATGAGGATAGACTAGAGTAGTACCAGATGATTGCAGGGTGGCAAATATTATTCCCTTGTTCAAGAAAGGGAATAGGGATAATCCTGGAAATTACAGAGTAAGTCAGTCTTACTTCTGTGGTGGGCAAATTGTTGGAGAGGAATCTGAGAGATAGTATTTATGACTACTTGGAAAAGCACAGTTTGATTAGAAATAGTCAGCATGGCTTCGTGAGGGGCAGGTCATGCCTCACAAGCCTTATTGAATTCTTTGAGGATGTGACAAAACACATTGATGAAGGCAGAGCAGTGGATGTGGTGTATATGGATTTTAGCAAGGCATTTGGTAAGGTTCCCCATGGTAGGCTTATTCAGAAAGTAAGGAGGCATGGGATTCGGGGAAATTTGGCTGTCTGGATACAGAATTAGCTGCCCAATAGAAGACAGAGGGTGGTAGTAGATGGAAAGTATTCAGCCTGGAGCTCGGTGACCAGTGGTGTGCCGCAGGGATCTGTTCTGGGACCCCTGCTCTTTGTGATCTTTATAAATGACTTGGATGAGGAAGTGGAAGGGTGGGTTAGTAAGTTTGCCGATGACACGAAGGTTGGTGGAGTTGTGGACAGCGTGGAGGGCTGTTGTAGGTTGCAACGGGACATTGACAGGATGCAGAGCTGGGCAAAGAAGTGGCAGATGGAATTCAACCAGAAAAGTGTGAAGTGATTCATTTTGGAAGGTCAAATTTGAATGTAGAATGCAGGGTTAATGGCAGGATTCTTGGCAGTGTGGAGGAACAGAGGGATCTTGGGGTCCACATCCATAAATCCCTCAAAGTTGCCACCAAGTTGATAGGGTTGTAAAGAAGGCATGTGGTGTGTTGGCTTTCATTGGCAGGGGAATTGAGTTTAAGAGCTGTGAGGTTATGCTGCAGCTCTATAAAACCCTGGTTAGACCACACTTAGAATATTGTGTTCCGTTCTGATCACCTCATTATAGGAAGGATGTGGATGCTTTAGAGAGGGTGCAGAGGAGATTTACCAGGATGCTGCCTGGAATGGAGGGCAGGTCTTATGAGGAAAGGTTGAGGGAGCTAGGGCTTTTCTCATTGGAGCGAAGAAGGATGAGAGGTGACTTAATAGATATGTACAAGATGATGAGAGGTATAGATAGAGTGGATAGCCAGAGACTTTTTCCCAGGGCGGAAATGACTATCACGAGGGGGCATAATTTTAAGGTGATTGGAGGAAGGTATCGGGGAGATGTCAGAGATAGGTTCTTCACACAGAGAGTCGTGGGTGTGTGGAATGCGCTGCCGGCAGTGGTAGTGGAGTCAGATACTTTAGAGAATTTTAAGCAACTCTTGGATAGGCACATGGAGGATAGTGAAATGTAGGGTATGCAGGGTAGTTTGATCTTAGTAGGATAATAGGTCAGCACAACATCGTGGGCCGAAGGGCCTGTACTGTGTTGTACTGTTCTATGTTCTATGTTCTAATTAAATCTGAAACTAGAGTCCTGAATTTAAAGAAAGCTGACTTTGATGGTATGAGGCATACATTGGCTAGGATAAACTGGTCAAGGATACTAAGGGGGCGATGGTGGTAGGCAATGGCAGACATTTAAAGGACAGATGGATGAGCATCAACAATTGTACATCCCTGTGGCGTAAAACAGTGAAGGTGGCTCAACCCAGGGCTAACAGGGGAAATCAGGAACAGTGTTAAAGTCAAAGTGGAGGCATATAAATTGGCCAGAAAAAGCAGCAACCTGAGGACTGGGAGAAATTTAAATTCAGCAGAGGAGGACAAAGGGTTTATTTCAGAAAGGGAAAATAGAACATGAAAGTAAGCTTGTGGAAAACATTAAAACTGACTTTAAAAGCTTCTGTAGATATGTGAAGAGAAACGTAGGTCCCTTGCAGTTAGAATCAGGTGAATTCATAATGGGCAACAAAGAGATGGCAGAGCAGTTGAACAGATACTTTGGATCTGTCTTCACTAGGGAAGACACAAATAACCATCTGGAAATGCTAAGGGACAGAGGATCAAGCCTAAAGGAGGAACTGAAGGAAATCCTTACTAGTCAGGAAATGGAATTGGGGAAATTGATGGGATTAAAACCCAACAAGCCCCCAGAGCCTATGCTCTGAATCCCAGAGTACTTAAGGAAGCGACCCTAGAAATAGTGGATGTATTGGAGTCATTTTCCAGCATTCTATAGACTCTGGAGAGTTCCAATGTACTGGAGGGAAGCTAATATAACTCCACCCTTTAAAAAAGGAGGGAGAGAGAAAATGGGGAGTTATAGGCTGGTTAGCCTGACTTCGGTGGGCAATAAGCTGGAGTCAATTATTAAGGATGGAATAACTCAGCATTTGGAAAGCAGTGACAGGATCAGTCCTAGTCAGCATGGCTGCGCTAAATGGTTGACAAATCTTTTGGAATTTTTTGAGGATGTGATCAGTAGAGTAGACAATGGTGAATCAGTAGATGTTATGTATCTGGACTTTCAAAAGGCTTTTGACATGGTTTCACACAAGAGATTCGTCGGGAAAAGTAAAGCTCATGGTATCGAAGGTAATGTATTGACATGGATAGAGAACTAGTTGGCAAATGGAAAGCAGAGAGTTAGAATAATTGGATCATTTTCAGAGCAGCAAGCAGTGATGAGTGGGGTGCTGCAGGGTTCAGTGCTGGGACCTCAGCTATCAACAATATACATTAATGATTGGATGAAGGAATTGAATGCAATATCTCCAAATTTGCACATGACACTAAACTGGGTGGCAGTGCATGCTGTGAGGGGGATGCTAAGAGGCTGCAGGGTAACTTAGACAGACTGGCTGAGTGGGTGAATACTTGGCAAATACAATATAATGTGGATAAATGTGAGGTTCTTGCTATTCCTCTCCCTCATTCTTGCTACTGCGGAAATCCAGTGAAGGTTCACCAGACTGATTCCCAGGATAGCCGGACTGGCACATGAGAAAAGACTGGATTGACTGAGCTTGTACTCGCTGGAATTTAGAAAAATGAGGGAGGATCTCATAGAAACATATAAAATCCTGATGGGACTGGATAGGCTAGATGAGGGAAGGATGTTCCCATTGTTGGAGAAGTCCAGAATTGGGGGTCACAGTCTAAGAATAAGGGGTAGGCCATTCAGGACTGAGATGAGGAAGAATTTCTTCACTGAGAGAGTTGTGAACCTATGGAATTCTCTCCCACAGGAAGCTGTTGGGGCCAGTTCATTAGATACATTCAAGAGGGAGCTGGACATGGCCTTTGCAGCTAAAGGGATCAAGGGGTATGGGGAGAGGGTGGGAGTGGGATACTGAGATTGCATGATCAGCCATGATCTTATTGAATGGGGCTACAGGTTCAAAGGGCTGAACGGCCTACTCCCACATCTAGTTTCTATATTTCTATGATTTTGTTTAATTCATTCTTGGAATGTGAGCACAGCTGGCAAGGCCGACATGTGTCAGCTCTTTGTTTTATTTTGGACTTTTCTGAAATTAGTTGAATTTAAATTTCCCATTGGCTATGATCGGATTTGAGCTCACATGTCCAGACCATTGGTGCAGTAAATCTGCATTTCTGCTCCTTTTATTTTATCATCATTTATGAACATTGTTGGCAAAATCAAAGTTTATTGTTCTTCACTGACTGCCTGTGAACTGAGCAGCTTTTCTTGGTTATTTAAGAGGTGTAGTGATTGGAATGAGGGCCAGGGTGGATCTCACTGATTTTCAGATCCTATATTGGGATTGTTAACCTGGGCCAATCAGGGAGCCCTGCCTGACAGGTATCAACAGGAGATTCAGAAGGTCTCCTCAGTCTAGGGACTGGCTGTGAGCTGGCTAGTCAGACCCATGTACAGGGCACATGTAAATAAAGGGTGACTTGGTGATGGGATACTGGCCTCTGGGCCGTTATTTCAAGCAGGAAGTTGAGAGTTAATGACTTTGGTGAAAGAGTGGGTGCTGATGTAAGACACCTTCAGTTAGCCAAAACAGGGGATTAAAGGAGGGAAATCAGCAAAAGTTTAAAACACTGACAATCATAAGCAGGAAGCGGGGGAAACAGAACAAACAAATCAAGGAGTCATGGAACCAGGGGATAGACCCTGAGGAGTGTGGATGGAGGGGAGGGGAGGAGCATGGACTGGCTGAGAGATGGAGTGCAAATAGATTGAGGGGAGGGTAAAGGAGAATGTTTGGTTGAGGACAGCTCAAAGTGTCAGTGGTAAGCGGGGAGAGAGTGAGGTAAAGGAGGGTTGTGCCAGAGATGGGGAGAATGTTGAGTGGATTTGCCAATCCCGTCTGAGATACTTTGACCCGGATGGGTACAGATTGACTAATGACAGATTGAGTGCCCATGACTCTGTCTCCACAAGTAGCAGCCAGCTCCTCCACATTGGTGAGAAATTGGAAAATCCGCTGTTCAGGTGAGACAAGCGATAGCTATTAGGTCAAACAGAACAAGGTGCACCTTTCCAGAGACCAAGAGGCATATTGTACAAAATGATCAGAGGTATAGATAGAGTGGACAGCCAGAGACTTTTTCCTAGGGTGGAGGTAGCTATTACGAGGGGGCATAGTTTTAAAGTGAGTGGAGATAGATATAGGGGAGACGTCAGGGGTAGGTTCTTTACTCAGAGAGCGGTAGGGGCTTGGAATGCATTGCCGGAGAGGGTAGTGGAGTCGGCCTCATTAGGGGCATTTAAGCGGCTATTAGATAGGCATATGGATGATAGTATAAGGTAGGGGTGGAGGTTAGATGGACCTTAGGTTTAGGTTAAAAGTTTGGCACAACATCGTGGGCCGAAGGGCCTGTACTGTGCTGTACTGTTCTATGTTCTATATTGCAACTGTGGAACTGGAACTCTTCCAGATCATCAGACTGGACTGGAAATGTTATTTTGATTTCTGTCTCTCTACAAATAAGCTGGACCTGCTGAGTTTCTCTCGCAATTTCCAATGTCCGTCTTACTGGTGTGTGGCTCCCAGAATTACCCTTTGACAGGATTTATAATCTGGGACCACAGTTGGGAGACTTATTACCAGAGAAATACTGTGGAAAAATATTTGTAACTTTTACAATTCTTTCTGTACAGGAATTGGAATTCTTTGATAAGGAGAACATTCCAGAATCCGTGCACAAGGCTCTGCAGAACATTGTGGATCAACCTGAATTCCAACCAGATGTGGTGCGGGAGGCCAGCAGGGCTTTGGAATCCTTCAGTATGTGGATTAAAGCAATCTACCAGTATTCCAGCTTGGTCCGTCAGTATAGTCCTCCCTTTGACAACGAGAACCAATCCCACATTGAAGAAGCCCAGCTCAGACTGGGAATGCTGAGGAAGCAGACGTTTGAAATGAAGAAGAAACTGGTTGCCATGTTACAGGAAGATGGGGATGATTACTTGTCCGGCTTTGACTCAGTGACAGACCTCAGCGATGCAGAAGTACTCCGGTTGGTGGAGGTGAAGGAGCGGGATGCACTGCAGGCACTGAGTAACGACAAGGATATATATTTAGCTGAGATGGCAGAATGGCAGCAGAAACTGAATGAAGCTGAGGAGCTGATGCGTGCGATGAGCCCTCACCAGTATGACTGGGACATTGCTTTGCAGCAAGCAAAAAGCAGAAGGATGACAGTTGCTGGGGACAGTTTGTTGACAGCAGCTGCCATAGTTTACCTGAGCCCCTTTGGCGAAAAGATGAGGCAAGAACTCCTGAAGAAGTGGAAGGCAGCTTGCTACACCGGAGAGATACAGATGGAGCCAGAAGATGTTCGACAGGAACTTGTAAAGTTGCGAGAAAAAACATTCCCCACTTCGCAAGAAAAGGCAAGATTGGCCACAGAGCACTGTCAACCTTCTAAATTCATCCCTATTCGGAGTGACTTCCTGCTCCTGGACATTCTCAGTTCCCTGAGAGAGCAGTTAAGGTGGAACAGTGCTAAACTTCCAGTCAATGCCACGGCCAGAGTCAGCGTTCTACTTGCACGGGTCCTGATCAAATGCTGTCCCTTGCCAATACCACTTTTCATTGATCCCGATAACCAGTGCACAATGTGGCTACAGGTCTTACAGGAGGGTGGTGGTCCACGTCTCGATAGAGAGGTGCTGGGAGTCCCAGGTAGGCTTGAGCTCACAATCACCTCACTGCAAGGATTAAGGGGAGGTCTTATGACTGGTCCCCATGTGGGAGCTTCAGGATAATTCCTGTGTAGTTCTGTGGCTAGGAATTATGTCCAGCTGCTCCAGCTAGAGTTCAGGGACAGCTGAGCTACTGTGGAGGGTTGGGGCAATGAGAGTTTCCTGTCACTCGTGTGCAGAGAGGTCAGGATGGAAGGTGGGTGCCCATCAGGAAGATGGAGGGAGAGAGGAGTACAGCCAGCGGTCTTTAGAGAGTTTGCCGCTGTTGTGGGAGTTCTCAGCATTGGAGGCTGCCCAGAGCACAATCCAGCTCAGGGCACCAATGGACACAGGAGTACAGGAGAGCTAAACAACCAAGAGTGGAAATGATATTGTTACAGGAGATTCCATACTGAGGGGAACAGACAAAAATTTCTCTCACTGTCATATTAACACATGAGCATATGAACTCAGAACAAGAATAGGCCATTCAGCCCCTCAAGTCAACTCTGCCATTTGATATTATCACAGTTAATCTCACCATGACCTCAACGCCATTTTGCTGTCTACCCTCTCCCCTTTGTCAACTGACTATTTATTTTAAGTGGTTGATCTACCTACAGCACATGGACTTCAGTGGTTCAAGAAGGCAGCTCACCACCACTTTATCAAGGGCCAATAAGTGATGGGTAATAAATGCTGGCTCAGCCAGTGACACCCACATCCCACAGATGAATAAACAAACAGCTCAGCCTTAAAAACATTCAGGTCTCCTCTGCTGTCTGCAGAATAGAATTCCACAGATTCATATTGTTCAGAGAGAACAAAAATATTTTCCTCATCTCCATCTTAAATGGAAGAGCTGGATTTTTAAACAGTGTCCCCTAATTCCAATCTCCCCCATGATGCGTAACCATCCTCTTAGCATCCACCCTTCAGGATCTTACCTATTCCAATAAGATTACCTCTTATTTCCTATATTGTACTCCACCTGATCATTTTTATACCATTCACAACCTAACTAAATTTTTTTGTAGCCTCCTTGCGTCCTCTTTCCACCTGATCCCCGTGACATTCCAGTCGCAACATTTTGCTAACCTGAAAATATCCATTTATTCTTATCCTTTGTATCCTATAAATCAACAAATCTTCTATCAACAAACATTGTCCCCTATACCATGAGATTTTATATTGTGTTGTCGCCTTTGATATGGAATTTTATCAAGGGCCTATTGGAAATCCAAGTATCCTACATCTATATGTTCTATGTTTTATAGGTTCCCTTTTATTTACTTTACATGCTACTTCCTCAAAGAATGCTAAGAAATTAATTTGACATGATTTCCCTTTTACCAGACCATGTAGACTCTGCCTGTTTACATTGAGATTTTCAGAATGTCCATTTTAACTTCCCTAATAAATGATTCCAGTAGTCCTAGCCTGTGACAGGTGTTAGATGAACTGACTTGTAGTTTCCTGTTTTCTGTCTACCTCTTTTTTTAAACAGAGGAGTTATTTTCACTATTTTCCAATCCAATGGGACCTTTCCAGATTCAGGTGAATTTTGGAAAATCACAATAATGTAGCTACCATCTCAATAGCCACTTCTTTAGAAGTTCATCAGGACCTGTGGCCAGTATTCTGTTTAATTTTCTCCGTTATTATTTAAGATTACACCCATACTTCACTCCTTTAAACTAAATATGAAAATCAATCATTCACTTCCCATATCTATGTCAGTAATACATATTATATAAATAATTGTGGACCAGCAATGATCTCTGCAGCACTACACTAGTTATAGGTTACCATCCTGAAAAGTGCCCCCTTATTTCAACTCTGTCTTCTATTGGTTAGCCAATCCTCTTTCCCCATTAATACTGTCACCAAAACCATGGGCTCTTAACTTAATAAGTAACCTAATAAAGGATCCTCTTTATCTGTCTTGCTTATACCTCCTCAAAGAATTCCAGTAAATTTCTAAGGCATGTTTTCCACATGAAGGCCCATGCTGACTCTACTTGGTCATATTATGTATTTCCAAATATTCTGCTATTACTCCCTTTATAATAGACACTAACATTTCATTTAGGTAAGGAATTCAGGAAAAGGGACTGTGAGGAACTTGTACAGTTCAACATAGGAAATGGGGAAGTATTGGAAACTCTGTAGGACTTAAAAACAGATAAATCCTGTGACTGGGGAGACTTGCATTCCAGGTTGCTGAGGGAGAGGAGGCAGGAAATTGCAGGGGCTCTGACAAATTTTTAATTCTTCTCTGGTCACAGGGCAAGTGCCAAAGGACTGGAGGATGACTAATATGGTTCCACTTTTTAAGAGGAGTGGTAGAGATGAACTAGGAAATCACAGACTAGTGAGTCTCATGTCCGTGACAGAGAAACTATTGGAGAAAATTCTGAAGGAGCAAATTAGAACACAGAACAGTACAGCTCAGTACAGGCCCTTCGGCCCACGATGTTGTGCCGAACTTTTACCCTAATCCTAAGGTCTATCTAACCTCCACCGCTACCTTATACTATCATCCATATGCCTATCTAATTGCCGCTTAAATGCTCCTAATGAGGCTGACTCCACTACCCTCTCCGGCAATGCATTCCACGCCCCGACCACTCTCTGAGTAAAGAACCTACCTCTGACCTCTCCCCGATATCTACCTCCTTTCACTTTAAAACTATGTCCCCTCGTAAAAGCTACCTCCACCCTAGGAAAAAGTCTCTGGCTGTCTACTCTATCTATACCTCTGATCATTTTGTACACCTCTATAAAATCACCTCTCATCCTTCGTCATTCTAAAGAGAAAAGCCCTAGCTCTCTCAACCTTTCCTCGTAAGACCTTCCCTCCATTCCAGGCAACATCCTGGTAAATCTCCTCTGCACCTTTTCTAACGCTTCCACATCTTTCCTGTAATGAGGTGACCAGAACTGGACACAATACTCCAGATGTGGCCAAACCAGGCTTTTGAAAAGCTGGAGCATAACTTCACGGCTCTTGAACTCAATTCCTCTATTAATGAAAGCTAACACACCATACGCCTTCTTAACAACTCTATCCACCTGGGTGGCAGCTCTCAGGGAACTGTGAACATGAACCCCAAGATCCCTCTGCTCCCCCACACTGCCAAGAATCTTTCCGTTAACCCTGTATTCTGCTTTCAAGTTTGTCCTTCCAAAATGAATTACCTCACACTTTTCAGGGTTAAACTCCATCTGCCACTTCTCAGCCCAGCTCTGCATTCTATCAATGTCCCTTTGTAACCTAGAATAGCCCTCCGCACTGTCCACAACATGACCCACCTTCGTATTGTCCGCAAACTTGCTAATCCACCCTTCCACTCCTTCATCCAAATCATTTACAAAAATCACAAATAGAAGAGGACCCAGAACAGATCCTTGTGGTACACCACTCGTAACTGAACACCATGTTGAATATTTTCCGTTCACTACCACCCTTTGTCTTCTAAGGGTCAGCCAATTCTGAATCCAATCTGCCACATTTCCCCCTATCCCATGCCTCCTTACCTTCTGCATGAGCCTACCATGGGGAACCTTATCAAACACCTTACTTAAATCCATGTATACCACATCCACTGCTCCACCTTCATACACGTGTTTGGTCAACTCTTCAAAGAATTCAATAAGGTTTGTGAGGCATGATCTACCCCTCACAAATCCATGCTGACTATCACAAATCAAACTGTGCCTATCCAAGTGATCATAAATCCTGTCTCTCAGAGCCCTTTCCAATAATTTGCCCACCACTGACGTAAGACTAACTGGCCTGTAATTTCCGGGGTTATCCCTATTCCCTTTTTTGAACAAGGGAATTACGTTTGTCTCTTTCCAATCTTCCGGCACTATACCCATGGACAGTGAGGGCGAAAAGATCATCGCCAAAGGCCCTGCAATCTCGTCCCTCGCTTCCCATAGAATCCTTGGATAAATCCCATCAGGCCCGAGTGACTTATCTATCTTCAACTTCCTCAGAATTCCTAGCACATCTTCTTTACTAGCATCAACCTCCTCTAGCCTACCTGCCTGTTTCACAACGTGAAATTCATACCCACTTGGTTAGGGGCATGGGTTAATTAGGAGCAGTTAGTATGGTTTTGTCAACAACATGCCCAACAAATTTGTTAGAGTTTTTTTGAAAATGTGATCAAGTGTGTGGATGAGGGAAGTTCAGTTCATGTAGTTTATATGGATTTTAGAAAAGCTTCTCGCAAGATCCCACAAGGGAGACTGATTGAGAAGCACATGGAATTGAGGGAAACTTGGCGAGATGGATCAGAAACTGGCTTAATTATAGAGTACAGAGGGTAATGGTAGACAGCTGTTTGAGTGACTGGAGGCCAGTATCCAGTGATGTACCACAAGGATCAGTACTGGGACCCTTATTGTTTGTTATATACATAACTGATGTGGATAAACATGTGCAGGGAATGTTAAATAATTTTACAGACAACACCAAGATTGGTAGAGTGGTTAATAGCGAAGAAGATGGTTGTAGGTCACAGGAAGATATAGATGGGTTGGTCAGATGGGCAGACCAGTGGCAAATGGTATTTAACCCTGATATGTGTGAGGTGATGCACTTTGGAAGGAAAAACAAGATGAGGGAGTATTTAATGAATGGCAGGACACTGGGTAACTTAGAGGAACAGAGGAATCTTAGGGTAAATAGTCACAGATCCCTGAAGTCAGTAGAGCACGTGAGCAGGTTAGTTAAAAAGGCATATGGGACACTTGCTTTCATCATTCGTGGCATATAGAGTATAACAGCAAGGAGGTAATGTTGGAGTTGTACATAGTATTGGTCAGGCCACAACTGGAGTACTGTGTGCAGTTCCAGTCACTTCATTACAGGAAAGATGTGATCGCACTAGAAGGGGTACAGAGGAGGTTCACCAGGATGTTGCCTGGGATGGAAGAAACTGAGCTGTAGGGGTGAGTCTAGATAGGCTTGGAATGTTTTCTCTGGAG